CTCCATAGTACCCAAAACATGTCACCAGTGATATCGCGCTCGACGCAGCCCAAGTCACGCCCGGCGCGGGCCAACCAGAGACTCCCATTTGCAAGCTCGCCCAGCAGTGATATCGCGCTCGACGCAGCCCAAGTCACGCCAGGCGCGGGCCAACCAGAGACTCCCATTTGCAAGCTCGCCCAACGCACACAGCATTGCGCCTGGCGGGCTCGCCTAAATGGAGTCCCCTGGTGGTCACGCGCCCGACGCGAAGAACAGCGCCCAGCGCGAATTCAACAGCAACCATCCCCAAGTTCGAAATTTGCCCAAAATCCTGCAAAACACAACATAAAACCAGCATGCAATCCAGCCAAAGGTTCCCATATTCACCAAAGATCAATAAAAACACTTTATTTCTCACATGCAATCACGATTCAAGGTTTTCCCCAAAATTTCTCAAAAACCCCAAAAACCCGAAAGGCCCCCAAATCAGCAATTTCAACCGTTCTCAGCTCCAATGCAGCAAACACCCTATCATCAAAGAGTTCTTAGAACTCGTTTTCGGCCAAACAAAGCAAAGGACTAGCTTCCCTTACCTCGGTGAAGAAATCCGAGCTCAGGGACGAGACGAACGGAAGAGAAAGACGAAAGAGAACTTGAATGAACACAGAAGAACAAGAGAGAACTCCGAAAATTAGCTAGCAAAATCCAAGCTCACTCAGCACAGCTACCTTGAGATATCAAGAAATGGGGAACAAGGTAAGGAGAGCAAGTGGGAAGTCAAAGAAAAGAGAATAAGGTGAAAGGGGCTTGCGGAAGGAATGGGATCTCACATAAATAAGTAACCTCTTTTTAGAATGACGTAATACCATAACTGATGCACTTTCTATTTCTTGAATAAAAGGATACATAAAAAAATTGGTAAAATTCTCATTTTTTTAATTATTTTTTGTTTAATTTTTAAAATTTTATGATATAAGTTTTAAAAGTAATAAATACTTTTATGTTAGGAAAATATTATATTCAAAATCATATTTTTAACTATTATAAAAATAATTTTTGAAATTCATTTAATTTTTTTACCCTCCTTTTTATGCATCCAAATAAACAAAAGAAACGCTTCCTATTTCCTTTTCTTATTTCCATTCATTCAATTCAAACATTTCTTTCCCAAATCATTTCTTCTTTAATTATATCATTCCTATTTGATTCTTTTCTACTTTTTATTCTATTTTACTTTAATTCAAACTTTGTTCAAAGAGAGATTCGAGACATAAGAGTACGCCAAATTCAATTAATTCAAGGGACAGTCTCGCCAGGTCAACATGTTCCTAGTCCTTTCTATTCCTTTGTTCGCATTACATAACAATTCATGACACCTTCTTAATTTCCTATTTTATTTATTTATTTTGGTATACTATATTACTATGAAACTTTCATTTCATCACCTTTATGTCTCGTCACTCGTTCTCTTGTTATCAATTTTTTTCCTGCAAAAAACAAAGCATCTTCCACAGTGGTCCCACTCCCACATGCCCTCATTTTCGTTATCTCTTTGCGTTTCTTACACGATCATGCAGACAATTTTTATGGTGTTTTACGTTCCAACAATAATTCAACATATTTTACATAGCCATGCACAGCGATATTGAAACCATCGTGATCGAGGGTTGATCAGAGCCACACAACAGAATCGTCCACTTCATATTATATAATTAATCAAAGCTTATATAATATTTATTATCTCCACTTTGTTTCTTTTTATAAGAAAGCAAAAGCAAAAAATGTATTTAAAAGACCAAATATAATATCTAATTATCGTGCAGAATTTACAGTGAAAGGTGGCGGCAACTGAAAAGAATAAACCAAAAGTTCTTGAAGTATTAAACACTCAAGATGCCAAATACCATGAATAGAACATGTATAATGTATATTGAACATGAAATAATAAAAAATATGCGTAATTTGTTAAATTGATTTTTAATTTAAATATTACTATAAAATTATTTATCTGAATGTTTCTCATTCTACATTATTTCTCTCAGTTATATTCTTTTTAATAACTCTCAATTTAGTCATTAAAGTATTATTATTTTTAATTAATCATTAAAGTAACTAAATTATATAAGTAGACCCTAAAATATTTTACATAATCTTTAAAATATTGGAAAGTCTTTTAAATAGCCTATCAACGTCAATAATTAGTAAAACATATTATAATAACGATTAAATTGATAAATTTTTTAAAAATTACTTGTATAATCTCTTTATTTTGAAAACTATATATTTAAGAGAGAAAATAATACTTCAATAAAAGATTAGTTCTTAACTTTTATTATCGATACACTATATTCACTACAAAAACCAATCTTTAAAATATAAAAATATTGATTACTTTATTGTAAAAAAGAATAAATTAATGTAAAGGTTAAACTAATTAATTAGTATTTACATCTTTAATTTAAAAGATTATATATGATCAAACACTACAATAAAATGAATTTTTAGTGTAATTTAATATTATTTTTAATAATAATAAAAACAGTTGTAAAATATTTTATGAACATTTTTACATTGCGGTATTGATAAAACATTGCCCCATAATCATTATACATGCTAACAAAGACTTGTAATAGTTGAGAAAAATATGAGTTTTGTGACATTTTTTTTTATTGACATTTGATATTTTTTAATTATTGTCACTAAAAGTTTAAGAAATGATTAGTAGTCTATATACACTTGAGTTTTTCTTTTAAAAAAGGAGTAATAACTTATATTTTTTAATTATCTTATTTTTAATCAATGTGAAAAATTGTAGGCGAAAGTTGTCATTTTACTTGAATATTATTTAATTGTTTTATTTCTAATCAATATATGAAATTTGAGTAAATGATGTGTGATCTAATATTATCTTAAAATAATTAATTACAAGTCTAATTCAATCATAGAAAACAAGTTTGTAAAGTAAAAGTTATTTTTCACTTATATATTTTTTAATTGTTTTATTTGTAATTGATGTCAAACTTAAATTTTTTCTAATAAAATGAATTATAAGTTACTCTCACTTTTTAATTGATCATTTTTAATAATTAATCTTATAAATATATTTTCAGTGGCTATTATTTATTAGTTATTAGTATTTTTATTAAATAATAAAAATAATTAATTAATTTATGATTATTAAATAATTATTATTAATAATAATTTTTGGTGTAATGATGAGAAACATAAATTTAAAATATCAAATTATATTTGAATTATCAAGATTATAAATACATTTTTTATAATTAAATAAATTAATATAAGTAACTTTCGATCTTAATTATATTATTCATTTGCAATAAGTAACTTACAAACCTGCGTTGCTCGTATTACGATATCATGGATTCATGAGATTCATTAGGTATAATAAAGTCTTCAAAGTCTAGAAAATTGGCATCTATATATTGATGGTATATATAGAGCGTATTAAATGGAAATACTTTTTTATTTTATGATAAGAAATAAAAACTATAGGTATAAATTATTAAATTTTATTTAAATAATAAAGATACAAAATATTTAATTACTTTAAATTATTATATTATTACTAATTAATTTATAATTTTAATTCATATATAATTATATAATTAAATTTATTATTTTAATTTCACACAATACCCGGATATTCTTCGGGAGAGTCCCATCACTGTTACCATAATTCCATAAAGAAACCCATTTTGCACGTAATGGTATGTTAATTAATATATAAAAGAAAAGTCATTTATGCGTTCAGGTCTAACAGAATTTTCAAAGTCGAAAGAAAACTATCGTATATGAATCATAATATTATTTATAAATATTAGGGTTCATCTAATACTAAAAGATTTAGACATCGTCATTACTTGTTATGATGGTAATTTTTATAGATAAAAATAATATTATTTACTAAATGTAAGGGCACTTTGGCATGTTTTGAGGTAGGTCTGAGCAACGGGTTCGGGTTTAAAATATTCAATCAAGCGCAAATTGACCAAACAAAAAAATCAGTCCATTTTTTTACCATTACAGTGATTCGGGTTGGTTGGCTTTCGGATTAGACCGATCGATTTAATTGGATTGGATCATATTAGGCCCAATATATTTATTTTTTATTATTTTTAAATTTAAATAATTATTTAATTTGAATTGGGTCTACAATTTTTTTCTTTTTTATGCTCAACTATTTAAATCAGTAAAGTTATTATTATGGGTCCTTTCTTAGGGAATTATGGGACTATTGTAAAGGGATTATATGCCTTTTAATTCTTATGTCCGATCCAAAATTGACCGTCCGAAGTTAAAAAAATGCATGTAAATTACCTTCGATTTCAGTCACGTCAAAAAATTTTGATCACACCTATTTTGGGGTTTTGAATTCCAAGTCAATATGGAAAATTGAAAACATGGAGGACCACCTCACCATCACATGCAGGTTACCCGTGCATGCGTCCAAGTTGATACCAATCATTCTTTTGTCCACATTACTACAAAACAAACCCATTGGTCACGTTTGATTTCAACCCAAAAACATAAAAACGAATATATTTTCATTTTCCTATGCACTAAATATATTTTTCCCCAATAATCAAAACTAATTAAATATCTACATAATTCATTAAAATTAGTTGTCTTTCAATGATTTTTTTTGTATGCACATGACTAAAATTTAACTAAATCATTAATTAGAATCAACCTAGTAATAAAAAATTGAGATGATATATATAAAATTTGAAGTTTAAACTTTGTCATTATCATTATTGTAATTCTTATAAATAAAAAACAATGACTAAAAACTCACCTATGATTTTCTGATGATTGTCTCAAAAGTTTGTTAGTAAATCAAGCTTATGTGACCATTAACAAGATGCGTCAAACCCATTCATATACGTAATCATGAAATTAAATCAAATCTAGTTGCAAAACTCTAGTCAGCAGCTTTGAGATATACAATTATATATATATCACGTCTTTAACCATTAACAAAATGTAAAAAAACCCACTCACGCAACCTCATAATTACAAAGATCAATATTCAATACAAAGTAGTAAGTACACATACATACTATACACGAACAATTTTTTCTCCATTTGCGAGATTCCAACTGAAACAGTTATGGGCATCCCACATTTTCTTGCCATACCTTTCCCAATTCTAGGACACATGAACCCCCTTATGCAGTTCTCTCAGGTTCTGGCGAAATATGGCTGCAAAATCACCTTCTTGAGTTCAGATGAGACCTACGACAAACTGAAGAGTGAATGTGCTGGGAATAGCAAAGTGATGGAGTCACACATAAAGTTGGTATCGCTGCCAGATGGTGTGGATCCTGAAGATGACAGAAGGGACCAGGCCAAGGTTATTTTCACCACCATAAACACCATGCGTGCTAAGCTTCCCAAGCTCATAGAAGACATAAATGCTGTCAACACTGACAACAAGGTTTCTTGCATTATTGTCACTAAAAATATGGGGTGGGCCTTGGAAGTTGGTCGCCAATTGGGAATTAAAGGGGCTCTTTTCTGGCCAGCCTCAGCTACTTCATTGGCATCCTTTAACTCCATACAGAAGCTTGTCGATGAAGGGATCGTAGATTCTAAAAGTGGTAAGAAATAGATATATAATTTGTTAGTCATTTGCTTATGAAAATCAAACTCATTTCAAAATATAAATCACATGCTATTCTGATTTCACAACCCATCAGTACTTTCCTATAATATTGTTTCTGTCACATGCTGTTTGTGTTGTGTTGAGTCTGGTCTAATATTGGAGGATATAAGATTTCTCTATATTATACCAAACATTATTTCGCTTCCTTAATTGCTTAACTTTTGGAATTAATTATAGATTAAATTAGAAATTTAGACTTTATACTTGATACCAATATATTTTACATGAAAGTGTCCTGCACTGTAATTATTAACTCCTTTATGAAAAAATTGCTTAGATATTATGACTGTTTGTCAAGTTATAACAATTTCAGATTTTGTTCATTTGTTGGTTGTCCACCATTTTTGTTGATTGCATGATATTTCAGCAAAATCTAGTACTGTCTTAAACTTCAGCAATGACAGAGACAAATGCTTTTTCTAATGACATAGCAACCTAAATATACTATTTTTTGGTGCAGGAAATTAAATAAAAAATAATGACAGGTGAAAGATGAAACTGTTAATTTAACCATATAGTTGTATCCCACACGGGTTTGGATAAGTTGTAATACTTTCATACCCTCAATTTCTTTTTCAGTTAGCTTTCATCCATAGACGTTTTTTAATTTCCTATATGATTTAACATTTTCCAGTTAAGATTCTCTGCAATCATTTTCAACTGCACAAAATCTGCAACCTTGATTTATATTTTATTATTAAAAATTGAATAAATATGTAAGATAAAATAATTAATAGTGCAGCACTGACATAGTTCTTGGACCTTGGTCCTCCCATACACTTTGTTGTTTCAAATTCCCAGATACTTAATATTGCAGCACTGACAACTGACATAGTTATTGTTTCTTAATTGTCTTTTGACATTTCAGGACTCCCAACCCAAAATGAGCAAATCCAGCTTTCATCTCATTTGCCTTTGATGGAGGCAACTGCCATGCCATGGTACTGCTCGAACAATGCCTTCTTCTTCCTTCACATGAAGCAAGAGATGCAAAACTTGAATCAAGGAGAGTGGTGGCTTTGCAACACTACATTTGATCTTGAATCTGGAGCATTTTCCACCTCACCAAAGCTCCTACCAATCGGTCCATTACTTGCACATGATCATCACAACATAAATTCACTAGGGCAAGAAGACACAACATGCATAGAATGGCTAGATCAGCAGCCACCTCAATCTGTCATATATGTCTCATTTGGCAGCATGGTGTCATTGAAACCAAACCAATTCAAAGAACTAGCCCTTGCACTTGATCTCCTCAAAAGGCCTTTCATTTGGGTTGTCCGCAAAGGAAATGGTTTAGAGGAGAAAAATGAGTACCCTCGTGAATTCAAGGGAAGCCAAGGTAAAATAGTGGGTTGGGCACCACAGAAGAAGATTTTGTGCCACCCTGCCACAGCATGTTTCATTAGCCACTGTGGTTGGAATTCAACTATAGAGGGTGTGTACAATGGGGTACCCTTCTTGTGTTGGCCATTCTGCAGTGACCAACTTATGAACAAGACGTATATTTGTCATGTGTGGAAGGTTGGACTGGGATTTGACAAGGATCAAAATGGATTGATATTGAGGGAAGAGATAAAAAAGAAGGTGGAGCATATACTTGGTGATGAAGAAATTAAAGGTAGGTCTTCCAAATTGATGGAAATGGTCGTCAAGAACAAAGCACAAGGTGATCAGAATCTCAACAAGTTTATCAATTGGGCCAAGGAATAATAAGAATGCTATAGCTTCATTAATGACTCAATAAAACAATGGAATTAATCACATATTTAACAAATAAATTTACATATAAAAATTAAATTAGGATGAAAGTATAATAAGGAAGGGTGGAAATCAAAGTTGTGTTTTATTAACTGTCTTATATATTATTATTATTATTGTAATAATACAAAAATTTACCATGTACGTGTTCTTACTTATTTGTCTCGCATAACGATGTTTTGTTTTTGTTTTTTGAATCCAGTGAAACCTTCATCCGCACGAAGTAATTCTATGAACTTTGCGAGTTCTATAAAATTGATACATGTGGGTGATATTTCGCAGAACCATATTAAATAATGGCTAATTATAATATATAATTGATCATGTTGTGCTAATTTTGTGCTGCCGACGATACCCGACAGCTTGTGGCTTTGGCTAACTGTGTACTCGTGATTGCAAATTCGCGATTTCCTCGATCATATAAGTTTGAATATAAAAAATGATCTCCATTTTTTTTGGCAGACACACGTGACAAAATTTGGATACACATGTAACTGTACAAGTTTCATTTATCATAGAGTTAAAATTCTATTTCTGATTAAAGATCAATACTAATTATACTTAAATTTTATCCATAAATAAAATAAGAAGAGTAAAAATAATGATTAAGAAAAAAAATAAAAAGAAGAAGAAAATAATAAATTATGGGTATAAAGATGAAATATGAAGAAAAAAATGGTACAAATTATTTTTTTATAAATAAAATGATAAAGAATAAAAATATTTTAATTTAATACTTATAAACGTACAATAAAATCGTATTAACAAAATTAAAAATTATAAAGACTCGACAAGAACGAAAACTAATACGGACTAAATTAAAACAAAATGAGAATGAAGTATGGGGTTGTGTGCGTGCGTCATCTTCTACAATTTTTAACCGGGTCCCATGAATATAAGTTGATTGTTACGTATAGATTAAATATGTTCTTAGCATTAAATATATTTTTAGGTGGTTATATCGTTTTAAATTTTATATCAATTTTTATATAAAATTTTGACTAATTTTAATTTTAGTTTTTTAAAATGTTTTTAGTCTCTGTTGTTAAGTATATTTATTTATTAATTAACTGATTATTAGAGACGAATACTCAAAACTTTAGTGGGGCTTCTCATCCTTTGTCGCATTTTTTTTCTAATTTTTTCTTTACCTATCAAGATTCAAGATTATATTGATGGTGTTAGAGTTCAAATATAAGACCCATACTATGTTTAATGATGTTTTTTAATTCTTTCAATTCAATAAGCACATACATATATTTTGTGATACTCTTCTAGCCATCGAAGATTGAGCTCATCATTTTTTTTAGAAGTGTTAATAATGTGATGTGCAAGAAGTGAGTGTAAGCCTTGAGATAAGGGAGATGTTCTTTTCTTTTTATTTTCAAGAAACATTCATCTTTATTTCCTTCTCGTAATTGTTCCGATGTGTAAGACTTTTTGTTGAACTTTTATTCTGCCTCTTTCTCAAATTTACAAGAGTTATAACAATTGGTATGGATTGTGATTTGAAGCCTAACTAAGCATTAGAGGGTAGAGTTGGCGTGAAACTTGTGGAAGCTTGGAGCATTTTCTTGAATTATTGTTACATTTTGAGGCATGTGGTTGGATCATCATAAAAAATGTGATAGTGTGGTTGAATTTTGAATTTACATAAATTCCATGTTGTAAAGTTGGGGTTTCAAGAAAAGTGAACCCATACCCAAGGTGGTTGATCTCTTGTCGTTGATTGCATGCATGTTAAATATGAATTGGTTTTCATGTTGCATATATTGCTTAGAGTCTTTTGGATGAGATTCATGTGATTTGATGAATTTCATCTGTTTTTAGGGCTTATAGATGAGTTTGGGATGATTTGGAATTCATTGGAAACATTCATGAGGGGTTCATGTTCGTAACCCCATGTCTTGAAGCCATTATGAGTGTGACTTAGGGGTCATGATCATGATTAGCACTATCAAAGGTCAAAAAATGTTGTAAAAGTGAACAAAGCCAATCATGGGCATTATACTCAGTGGTCATGTCCATGATCCTTATGGCCTAAAGTCGAAAAACATGTGTAATAGCATAATAGAGTCTCTCACGAGCGTAACAAAATTGTCACGATCGTGATTGTCTTGAGAGTCCTTGTACGAGTCAAATTAGCTATTGAGATTTTCATGAAAGTTGTATATTTGGATGTTAGCTTTCCAATGACTTTAGAATCACCTAAAAATGAGGTATAGAACTTAATAAGTTATAAAAATTTTAGTGAGCAAAGTTCAAGCTAGTAGCATTAGTCCAAAATGTTGTAATTTTTATAATTTGTAGTATAGTAGATGATGAAAATTAGAACTTGATGTCTTCATAAGAGTTATATATAATATTCTTATCATTCATATGAGATAAGAATGAGTTTGATTACAGTAGTATAACTCTCTATGTGGTATTTTATGTGGAAGTTGTCATTATACGATAATTGATTTTCATAAGTTATATGTTAATACATGTTGTATGATGAGTGAATTTGGTGGGCATGAATAAAATATTTGTGTTTATTACATGTGGTATGATGTAGGATGATGATAATAAGCATTAGTATGCTATATTTATGTAGTTGAAATGGTGATGAGTATTATTATGCTATGTATGATTAACATGCTATAAATTGCATGGTTGAAGTGTTGAATACGCATTAGTATACTATTATTGAATGAATTGTTGAACATTAATATATTATACTTGGATGAATTGTTAAGTATTGGTATGCTTTTCTTGGTTGAGGTATCAAACATTGGTATGTTATACATGGTTGGTGTGATTTGATGACTTGAGGTAATGTATATAGAAGATGTATGTTTAGGTGTTGATATTAAGAATGTTGCGAGCATTAAAATATGTTGATTGACTTAGGACTAGAGGAGAGAATGTTGTTTAGAAAGTGAAGATCCCATGTAGGAAATCTTGTTTTGGCATTCTAGGAGGCTAATTATTGAAAACTTCCTTGAGTAGGTGTAAAACTCTTGGAGTGAATTTTGTTGAGCTTAATTCCTCTAAGTCCTTAGTCAATGTGGAGTAAGGTATGAAGTTGAGGGTTATTACCCTTGACTGATTACTGAAAAGATTATGTGATTCCTTACGGATAATTAGTGGACTAACTCTATATGTGACTTGGTAATGCATGATAAAGTCATGGTACACATATACCTAACTATACTACCACTGATTGTAGAATCGAACTTTCCTAATGTAAGTGACGATACATGAGAAATCAAAGGAAAGAGTGGTATCCCAATTTAGTCGTGGGTCTAGTAGGCACATATGACATGAAAACAATTAGGGTTGATTCGGTAGGACCAGACCACTTAAACTACTAGGATGTATTAGGAGATTTTTATAGGTGAATGCGTGACGACACATTAGTTGTGGTGAGTACATATGATGTGGGTTAAGTTGATTGTTGTTCATATGTACTTGGTGATTACCTTGTTGTATGTTATGATGATGGTGAATGTTTTGAATTGCTCATTGTATTGCTTTCAATCAGGTTGATTTGGTGATTTTGTATGCCATGAGGTGTTTATAGATGGTTTACATGTGGATGTTGATGGTAGTATAGATGTTTTCTCTATATACTTGTATTCTTTTAAGTTTAGCTTATCCTTGCATTTTTTTCATGTGATTTAGACTATAATGGTCATGTTTTTATAGGAGCAAGATAGAGTTAACTGAACTTGGGCATGTGGAGTTTTTGTGGGCCATTTTGTTGGCAATTTAGTCTTTGAAGGATTTGTATACTTGTGCTTGATCAACACTTAGGATTTTATTCTATGTTTATACTAGATGATTGTACATATGCTATACATAATTGGAGAGTTATTTTTAGTTGCTTATATTTATATACATGCTATAACTTGCATATCCAAGTATTTCGAGTATAAATCCTTAATTATGAGATAGTTTCACTACTAGTAGTTGTGATTCATAAGTATAATAACCATGATGGGTCGTTACAAGTGTTATGTTTAACCTTCAATATATACATTTAATGTAAATATACATTTTTTATTTCTTTAAAAAATTATTTATATTTTTGTTGGCTTAGATATATTTTTAGTTATAAAATTTAGAATAAATTTTCTTTTTGCTCTCAAATTTAAAATTAATTTTTTAGTTCTTATAATTTAAAAAAAAATTATTTTAGTCTCTCAAACCACTAAAAACAAAATTTACAATGACCTAGTGAGACAATTATATAATATCAATTATACTTAATGTAATGTTTTTATTGACAAAGATACTAGTAAATAGAATGTGTGCGATAATATTTGACTAATTTTCTAATAACATTTGAGCAGGTAGATTAAAATCATAATTTTTTCAAATTAAAAGAATTAAAGAATTTAATTTAAAATTTATAGAATTAAAGATAAATTAACCTTATATTTAAGAGATTAAAATATATTCAAGCCTTTATTTTGTTCTGATATTTAATTATTACAATATATATATATATATATATATATATATATGTATATATATATATGTGCACACGTGTATTTGAAGATATAATTATAATTACCTACCACAAATATCTACACCTGGAAATATCTTAATGGTTTGAGGGAAACGTTATTTTTGTCTTTAACAAAAAAGGTGGTTTCAGTTAACTCTTTTCTACCAGAAGTAATTAAATATAAGAAGTGTATATGAAGTATATAGATATGTGTCATGGTGAAGCCACCTGAGGTTAAGTTATTATATATTAATAATAATAATTTATTTAATCAGTAGTACTTTTATAATATGATATTATGATATTATATTTATAATGAAAATATTTATTTTAAAAATATATACTATAAAATATATTTTAACACCTCTTCCTTGTCCCTTCTCCCCCCTCCCTCTCTCTCTCTATCTATCTCTATCTCTATCTATATATATATATATATATATATATATATATATATTTGTAACTTTTTACATGTGAACATTTTATTCCAATCTTGACAATTAATTATATCAAAAGTTTACCTTCTTATATCTTCTCCTTGATTTAAAGGTTCAACCACCTAACTATAGTTGAACAGTAAACAATTAAATTATATTATTTTAATTTTTAATATAACATATTAAGCAAATTAAATTAAACAAAAGGTGGAAAATTGTTGTAATTGAAAGAAATGGGCCAATATTAGTTTTCATGCACAATTTAGTGTTAAGGTTTAAGTGAAACTATTATAGATTTTGTTGAAAATATCACAAGCTGACAAGTCTACCAATATAAACTAGACAAAGGTTATGGTGGACCATCTTCATAAGTGGTCTATGGTGAACCATTCCTATTCACCGTTAGATTAATCTAACTTTCATGATTATACTTTAGACATTTCATATTAGATTATTTTTCTCTAAATTCCTTTGACAACCCCTTCTAGCTAGTTTGTCTCTTTTAGTGGCCACCACCACTCCTCTAGCTTGGTTACTAATACGATTTTTAAAACATGAGATCATCTTAAAAACAAATAAAGTAACAAAGAGGAACTTGACTCTAATCGCGACTTGCTAGTAAAACTAAAGTTATTAATATAAACATGATCCTGTTCATGACTCGCCAGTACAATCAACACTATAAAGTTCTTATTAAATAACAAAGAAAAAATTCTCACAATGAAAAACTCACAATTTGATTAATCTTCAATTCCACCTTGGATGCTTACAATAGACTCTTATTTATAAACTAAGATAAGTAACTTCTCACTTACATGTAATAACTTTTCACTAAGCTCCACTAGGAAATAAAAGTCTTACTAACATTTATTTTCCATTAGGAAGCTTAAAAATACTCAAAATTGACCTAGACAATATGAAAAATCATTTGAATTTGTTTAATTAAAATAAAATATGAAAAACCATTAAGATTAAGAAAAACAATCTTAAGAAACTTTTAAACTCAAAAACTAAGTAAACCATACAAATAAAGTTCAACCTACTGTAGCATATTTACTAATTGGTGTTAGACTCATTATATTCATTAAATTAATATTTTTTTAACTCTTTTAGATTTTCTTTTAGTTATTGGGGCTTCTTTTGATTGAAAAGAATATTTGAAAATAATGGACCTTAATAATAATAATGTTGTATTTTGTCGATTAGTCCTATAAAAGAAGCAAATTTTACACAGAAAGAATAAAAAATGTTCCTTTTCGTCACCCAAATTCCAATTTCAGACATTTTTTTTATCATCAAGTTAATGCTTCCCCTTGTCTCCCAGATTTATTATAGTTTTCACTTACTTTCTCTTGCATGTTATTCATTTTCTTTCCATCTATAATAAAATGATAATTGAAGAATGGATTATTCTTAAACTTGGAGTTGGAATCTCATGTAGTAATTTTTTGTTTGAATAGAGTTCCTTTGGTTGAGGTTCTAGTATTTAAAATGAGAGATTTTATGTGTAGTTGTTCTATTTTGTCTCCCTTTTCTATAATGATGAAGGAAGAATGTATGGATTGTAAGACGAACTTTGAGAAGCCTACATGTACAATATAATAGTGATACAAGTAGAAGACTTTGAAGAAGGGATCATCTAGTGTGAAAGGTGTAAACATAAAAATAACATTAATCTAATCATAAATGGAAGTGGTCTACCATATACTATTTGTAAAGATGAACCATTGTGGATTTTGTCTTTAAACCAATATTCAAAGGCATAATTAGGTGATATGATAAAAAAAAATAACTATAACAGCTTTTTTTCTAAAGTGCAAGAATTAAAAGCAACAACTAAGACAAAATTTGATTGTCAAAAGATTAAGACAAAATATTGTTCCTTATCTTCCTATATACACTATTAAATTCATATCCAATATAAGTAATAACATGAAAATTGTAATTCAATTATACAAAATTACTCTAAGCTCAATTCTTTTAATCAAAATCCCTTTACTCAAATTTATTACTTATAGAACTATAGATAATGCTTAATTTAGTCAAGTAATGAGATAAAAAAAACCGTATAGAACTTTTGCATATGATAAACCATTCCTAAAACACCCAAAATTACTATAAACAACTTTAGTTGTTTAGGCTTAATTTTCAAATTGAAATGTAAAAATCTAATTTCTATTTATCTAACAATTAAATATAGAAATGTCAAGAAACCAAAAATTATTAGTATATATAGTTTGATATTTATATTTTTTAACCAAGAATTAAGATTTAATTCCTACCTTAAATTGTTAGACAAAATTATAACTAAAAATATTAATTTGCTCCTAATATAGATCGACTTGTAGAAAGTTATAACTCAATTATTTATAAAAAAAAAAAAAAAAGTCAAGAGCACAAAAAAACAGGTAAAATGTCATGCAATTACTTAATTAAGTTAGTAAATAATTAAAGGTAAAGTAATATTATTTTTTTGGAAGCTATAAGGCTTTCCGCTCCTTTTTACTATTATTTAATAATTTTAATTGTCATGCATCGTAAGCATAACGTATTATATGATTAATTAATAATAAAAAAAATTATTATAATTTTTCAGATAATTATTTTATTATAAATTAATAAATTTATTATAATAATTTATTATTAGCTGATTGTAAAACTATTTTATATTATTGACATATACTCTCGTGTACAATATTTTCTCTTCTCTGATTACAAGCCACTGAAATCCAAACTTCAAATCATTAGAAGCCGAAGTGGATCAAACTTCATTCTAGGTGTGTTTCCCGAGTCTGTAATTGGAATAGAACTTTTTTTAATGAATTTATTAAAACACTTAAATTATTATTAATTTTATAATTTTTATTTCTTAATAATATTTATTATAAAATTATTTATAAAATTTTTAATAAATCGATTCAATTAATAAAACTATTAACTTAATTTAAAAAAAAAAGGCGACAAACCCGATGAACGACTTTCCAAGTTAATATGGACAGTGGACACCCCCTTGGGCTCCCAAATGGAAACGTTGGGGGAATAGAAAGGCCTTAAATGGGTGACAAGAGTTTGGGCCTGATGTTGGGCCTCTATCATTTTCACCCGTTCCCAACTTGTCTATTTTAATATTTTTCTTCAATCATTTTCTTTCACCTTCCCTCACCGTGTCTTCTCTCATCAGATCTAGTTCCCACTTCCCTCACCTATTATCCTCCGCTGCGCGTCACCTTCCACGCGCCGCCTTCTGTTGCACTCCACGCCGGTAACTCCCTTTTCGCGCTGCCACACTTCAATACTTTTTCTTCATTCCTTAGTTTTTTTTTTTTTTTTTTTTTTTTTTTTTTTTTTTATTTTATAATTTTCGTTATGTTGATTTAGCGTTCTAATCGTTTCGTTATCAAATCATTGTTTCTCCATGTTTTCCTTCTAAGCATTCTCATCGCTTCCTTTCGTACACTGTATATGTATTCTTATTTTAGTTTAGGTGTTTCCTGATATTTTCCTATTTTCATATTCTGTTATTGTTTTTTTTTTTAAGATTTTTTTATTTAATTTATTTTTTCAAAATTTTTAATTGCATAAGAGGGTGAATCTGCTAGGTTCTAACCCATCAAACACAGGGTAGGGATTTTTTTTTCAAAAAGGGAAAAAAAATGATCCAATTCGCCACGTTCCATTTCAACCAGGGCATGTCCCTACATGTTTTCTCAATACTAGTTACAATATGGCTATGTCGTTTACTCTCTAATTTGTGTTGATATCGTTATACAGTAGCATCATCAGTTTCCCAATCTCTATGTGAAGTGCTTTTTTTCTTTCATTGCTCTGTTTCATGTAAAACTAAAACAGCATACAAAAGGGTGTTATAATTGTTTTTTATATATCAAATGTTTTTTCGAGGCATGGATGTTGTTGTTGTATGCTGATGGATTGAGTTTTAGGATGTCTTCTAGTGTGACAAGATGAGTATTTGCGAATTATGAAGGTGAAACATTAGCAACGAAAATCAATTTTGCTACTAAATATAAATACAAGAAGGTGGAATGAATACAAATGAGCAAATCCGTGATTGATGGTTCAAGTGTCAACATGTTACCGTTTTAGTTCTTTAACTATATTTGTCAGCAAATCAGTGTCTCAAAGATACAAAATACTGAACCTTCTGACTTTAGTTTTTCATGAGAATGAATGCAGTGATGTTTAGATGTTTAGGAAACTAATATGGTTACAAAAATCTGTGGACTATTTATGTCGCAATTGATTACTTGTGCCTTGGAGTATCAATTTAGGGTTTTGTTTCTAAAATTCTCTTCATATTCATTTTTTTGTTGCAAATTATTTTTCAACCTGTTTTCCTCCTTTCCACTTGCACAACTAAGCGTACCCTGTATATGGAAAGAAAATATTTGGGTATTTTTATATACTGAAGCAGCAGAATCTTTTCAAGGATTATCTAGCAGTCATTAGGATTTCATGATGGATGTTGCAAGAGTTGTGTGATTGTTGCTTGTCCTTTATTTATGCGAAAGCTCTAAATTCTGTATCTATTTACTTGTTCATATTATTCTTGAATTAACATGAAGTTTGTGAAGATGAGGATTTATGGAGATCGCACATCGATTAGTGATGTTGTCAAATTAGAGAATATAAGTAGAGACAATCTTTATTTTATAAACCTGTTTTGTAAGATTGAATTAGACACATAATTCACTTTCTAACAAGGATAGCCAAAAATATCAACATTTTTATGCAAAAAAACATCTGGCTCCTTTTTTATGGTCCTTTTTTTTTTTTTTTTTTTTTTTTTCTCTTTCATGATGATAGGAAAGAATGCTGTTTGAGTCCTTAAAAATGAATCATTATGAGTTTTATTTGACGTGGGAATTAGGTTTTCGTATTGAAGTGTTTATGCCGAGCCCTGCTTTTGAAATGTCTTGATATTTTATTTTTCATATGTTCTATTTCATTTTCTGGGAACTCCCAAGATGTTTACATTTTTGGCTTCTTCATTGCAGTGTATAATCAAGAGTATATTCAATTTTTTGTTGCAACTTGGAACTAACAATGGCATCTGAAGAAGTTCTGAAGGCTGTTTTCCCTTTCCTGGAGGGTGTTGATCTTGCTTCTTGTATGGGTGTTTGTAAGCAGTGGAAAGACATAGCTAAAGATGATTTCTTTTGGAAATGTTTGTGTGGCAAGAGATGGCCTTCAATCTGCAAGAAACCTAACCCTCCAACTTTAACCTACTACAAGTTATACAAAACCTTTTATAAACGGCTGCATCGTAGAACTCTTCTCCCTCCAAGAATTTCTTTTGATGATTTGGAGTTTTTCATTGACATTTGGGCTGAAAACACATTACTCTTCTCAGAAGTAGTGCCTGGCTCTGTCCTTCAAGTAGGTTTTAAAATTCCAGCATCTGGAGTTTGTGACATGCTCAAGTTTCAACTGGAAGGTTCTGAATACAAGATGACTTTTCCTGTGGAACCTAGGTTTACTATCCCATCAGGACAAAATCAGAATGTTAGTGTCTCTGTCATGGTTGGGAGGAAGGATTCAAGTAAGGTTGCTCGCATTATAAATAAGTCCATGTTTGATTACATTGATCGCTCATCATATAGGGCCCTGGCTTTTGATTATCTAGACATATCCCCTAGCTACCCTTTTCTGTCTGGCATCCGTGCCTGGATCTCTTTGCTATTCATGGAAGATAGAAATGAAGATCTCATGGATGTATTTGGGATCCAAATGGATTTCTGTGATGTGGCAAATTCCAAGGAAGAAGTCTTGTGGCTGTTGGACATGCTTGACTGGAAGTAAATGTTCGGTGTGATTTCCCCCCATCATCATTATAGCAAAAGTAATTGGACATTGTGATTTTATGTTAACTAGTCTGTTCATATGGGTGCATTGCAAAGTTTACTATCTTATTGTCAAGCATCAGCGATTGGCGCAATTTGTTGGTGTTAATATCTTGTGTGTTTGGAGTATGTAAATACTCTCTAATTCAAATAAATGGCTTACTTTTTAGCTTGTACACTAGCACGTCATATTATTTTCATATTTATTTTAATTATTTTAAAAAAAATAAAACAATTTTGGATCATTATATAAATTACTTATCATAAATTTAAGCTTAAATTTATATGTTTAAAACTATTTATTTGTTACAAATTTTAAGTATAATATACAATAAAAAAAGTATTTATTTGTTGTAAATTAGTTATATAAATAAAATTTATATACCCTGTAAAACATAGTGGTTATTAAAAGTGATTGTTAGTAATGTTGGATATAAATTACTTCTAAACTAATTGATTGTTTTTAATTAAGATAAATAAAAACTAACACCTAGATTAAAATGTGAAAATATTTTAAATATAAATTTTCGATTAAATAAGCACTTAATGGATACACATGATCTGTAGCATATTTCGTAAATAACACATTTAATTTTAATTTTAATTTTGATCATAAAATTACATTTTTCAGCGAATACAATTCATGACTATTAAGAAAGAAAGAAAAAAAAACTAATGATTACATTTTATATATATATATATATATAAATGAATGTTATATACATGAAGAATATTTGAATTCGCTCTTATACATTATCGCTTTCATAAAAATAGGGGTGAAAATAATAACCAACTCTTTATATATTATAAATAATTACTACGCTACTTTGAAATCAAAATAATTTTTTGTCTTTCTAGATTCCAATAGTAACACAATTTATTCTAACCGTGGTCAATTATTTAGTGTATGTTTGGAATTCTGCAACAATCCACCTCATCCCTTCTTTCTACATTTGCCGGAAAGGGAGATTTTACGTTTCAAATCACGAATGTTCGATAATACTTCAATTGTATTTCATTCACACCACATAATACTAGAAGAACCAAAAATCCAAAATTTCCCGTAGAAATAGAACAATCCTAAGGTAAAAAGCCTATGTTTGAATCATAAAGAAAATAAATAAATAAGAAATATACATTGTTACATAATACAGTGAATTAAATAATATCACCAAAACAATATCTGAATATTTACCCTGCTAATTAGATTTTACTTAGAAGGGAAGTTCACAAAAAAAAAATAATAATCTTTCAGGTATTTGTCCACTTCACCATTTTGGTGAAAATTTTCAAATAACTTGTGCCATTTCAATCTTAACAAGAAAAAGAAAAAGGACGTGATTACTAATATTTTTTCTTCGAAATATTAAGAGCAATTTTAATAGAAGTTGTTTGTCCCATGAAGTAATTAAAGTCCCGGTTTCTTGTCATTGGAAGACTTTGACGTGGCAACATGAGTTGCTTGAAGAAGAGAGAAAGTTGTTTCCTCAAACAACCGTTCCTTACCAGATTTCAAGCAGATCTTATTGAACATATTTTGGAACGTTTCAGAAATAATAATGATAAAAATTAATTTCGTATAATATTTATGTATTTACTATTATTTTATTTTATTTTTAATATCTACTTATTATATATTTTTTCTTGTAATTTATTTTCTTTCATTGTAGTGCAATTGTCATTTTTAATAAAAATTTAAATTTAGTTCATAAATAATTAGAAAAACAATTTAAAAGTTGAATTTCTTAAAATTTCTTATCATTGAAGTAAATTTGTGTTTAAGTTTCTTAATGCTGATATGACATACTAAGGATCACTTTTTTCATTTTTCAACGCATAAAACAACTCAAATGAGTTACTTTCATTGAAGATGCCATAAAGAATACCATCAATTATTCCTATATATATTGTCTAAAAATTTTAAATCACCAATTATACATTTATGTTATATAAGATTTCTTAATCGGAATATGATATGAAATTGAATTTGAATATATATTAATATTATTATTCAGTTTGAAGCAAAATATACATTTATATTATACATTTAGTTTGAATGTTTAAACCATAAAAACGGTATAGGTCATAATTTTTTTAATTGCTATAATTATTATATATTAAAATAGATATGTTAGTACTACCAACTAATTGAATCAGGAAAAAACTACATAGCGCATGCTATCAAATAAAAACAAATGTGTTTTTTTTTTTTCACACTCACAAAAGGATTAAAACACCTCTCTAACATCTTTAAAATATTAATTCCTCCCTCCTAAACTTCATTTTTTATTCACTAAACTAATATTTTAATTCTGAGACAGATTGATTTTGCCTTATAGTGGGTGTCATCAGAGTGTTTCCCTACTAAAAAGTGTCCAAATTTCAGGTCTCAAAAAGGAAGAGAAAAAAGAAACTTCAACATGCATACAATCAATTAACTTGGTTCGTTTATTTCTATAACTGTTTTTTGCTACACGACATCACTGGTCACATATGATTAGATTTTGGTAGGCTAAAAGTTTTGGGGACTTTCATGGGTCTGTCCGAATTGCCAATTGGAAGGAACAACATTATCAAAATTCAACTTTTTACCATCACTAGTAGTAACCGAAAACGACAAGCTCTGGCCCACCAAATTAGAGCCCGTAAGCCAATTTTGTCCCCAAGCCCGTGACATGGAAGCCCAATTAGCTTTAGAGCCTTTGATGCTAACTTGAGTAACATCACCAGCGTTGCCAACGTTGTAGATCAAAACTAGGAGCCAATAAGGGTTCCCTTTGAGTTGGAACTTGACACCACCGGTTTTGGTGCATGGGACACGTCGATATTGAACTGGGATGATCCCTGCTTTGTATATGGCGATTTTGGTGAACATTTTCATGGACAAGTCGAAGTGTTCCATTGGAGGGTTGCACCAATGGTCCAAATTTGGAGGGTCATAGTTGGGGGGACAGAAATTTGTTGCCGTTACTTTGATTGTGCCTCCGTTCTTTATGCACCAACTGGGGTCGTTCACACACTGGATCTCAAAACATGCCCCACAACTCACCCCATTGTTGAATAGAGCTGTGCTTAGGGCTGTGGTTTCAAGCCCATACCCTTGTTGGAACAGATCGCCATAACCACAAGCACCCTCTGCATGTTTCATTTTAAAATTAAATAAATCTAATCAATTAACACAATCATATCTCTAATCTTTAATATAATAAAAGAGATCTCCTCATTTTTGGTGCTTACTTTGTTTAGACTTTCGGCATGAGTAAAGTTCACGATCATTCAGATGGATAAAATAGATGAATAGAAAGAAACTAATAAATACGATAGATTATGTGATAAAAAAAAAAAATGAAGTGAGAGATACAGAAAATATAAGAGTTATATGGTGTTTATCTTTTCCTTTTCAAGAAAAAGAAGAATCCTCACATAAAATCAATATTTCCTTCGGTTATTGAATTTCTCTTTGATTCATAAATATAATTTTCTTTGACATTACTTTCTTATCCTTTAACCGTTATTACAAAAAAAAACAAATTAATTAATTCAATTATCTTTGTTTTAAGAAATTGGCCTTAATAATAATAATAAAGATATCACCGTTTAAGTTCACATTTTTTTAAAATAAATATAATATTAGTTTGAAGAATTCACAATTAAAAATAATGACTAATATCTACTGAGAATAGTATGCGCGCACAAATTAATTAATACAATTGTGTTTGTTTTAACAAATTAGTATTGACAAGGATGACAATTATAATAATAATCATATCCCTGTTTAAGTTTATTTTTTTTAATAAATATAATATTAGTACAAAGTATTCATGATTAAAAGTGATCACTAATATTTATCAAGGATGGTGAATGTACAAAAGATTGATATTCCTCATCAAACATATTTTACTTCACCTTTAAGATCACTCTTTCAAGAATTGTGAATATACACAAGATAAATATTTTTCTTTCAATATAACTTATTTCATATCTAAGACCAAGATTTGAATCATAATTTAAATAATATACAATTTCATTAAAGAGCACAAGATATTATTACTTATGTTGGCTAATATTGATTGTTTAATATTGTTCACTTTGCTTAAATTTTTTGAGTGCAAATTAGTTTTTAAATTATTTTAAAGATGGATTAAGATTGATAGAAAAGATATTCAATAGAAAAGGAAAAGGGTAAAAAGAAAACGTAAAGACATGATAAGATAAAAAAATTGAAGAAGAATAAGAAGAAGAAAATTGAAAGTGAGATGGCATGAAGAAACTACTCACTAATTGTTATTATAAATCATTACACTAATTTGTTTCAACCTTTCACATGAGTTACATTGATAAAGATAATAAAAAATAAAAAATTACACCCACTACGTATGCGAAAATTCAATTTCGAATAATGAAAAATATAAACAAGATCATGAGAATATTGATTGTGATTTTATTTAGATAGAGTAGCAAAGGGGAATGTTTTAATTTATACTTACGCATTGTCTCTCCACCTTGCATGTCACCATAGAAGGTTGCATGCGCAAGCTTCCAGTTGCTGCCGAGACTGGGACTGGGATTATGACCACGACGACTGTAGAGATGAAGATGATGGTGGTTCTGACCTTTTGACAAGAGTGGTACAAAGAGAACCATGAAAAAGACAAAGGGAACCAAAGAGTAAAATCTAGACATGACCATGACTATAGTGTGATAATGGGAGGTTAGTGATAGATTATAAAATTAACCATTGTTAATGAAAAATGAGTGGTATTTAAAGGAGAGGGACTACTGCTACATGCTACAATCTACATGCTACTCATCAGTTCAGGAAATTAATCAAAAACAAATATCGCAGATTTGATTTTTAATATTTGAATATTTGAAAGCCATTGTTTTAATAGCTGATAAGGAAATAACTTTTTGTTGCCATACAAGCTTGATTTGTGGGGCATTTTTATAGTAAATCGATAAATGAATTGCGATTGTATAATTATTTGCTTATTTTAATTTAATTACAATTTACAAAATCACTAACGATTCCTGCAGCTGCATAGCGATGTCAAGATAATGATGGTCTTTATTAACCTAAAATTAAAAATAAAATCACGGTATCTTCAAGTTAATTTATTGCTTAATTGTTGCCCCACAATGGTTATAACCTTAATAATTTATTCAATGTACATGGTTTTCCTCTTTATATAACGTATCCATGTAATGTAATATATATATACACATAACGTATCTTCGCGTTCCTATGTGTAACGTATCTTTATATATAATAATTTCTGTCAAAGAAACTAGATTAATATTTATAATAGGATTCTTCTTCTCGATCACGGCATATTTTACATTTTAATTCATGAATACATATAACTTTATTATTAATTTTGAGAAAATAGTTGAAAGTAAAAAAAAATAAAAATAAATTGTCAATAAAAAACATATTATCATTATAAATTTATTGAATTTTATAAAAACTACTTAAAAGTTATAGTCATACTAACCAAAATTTGTGATTCGTTGAGTGCTTAGCTATTAACCTTTATTTAGTATTAATTTAGTATTCTAAAACATTAAAAATAATATTTGTCTTTGAAATTTTCCTTTCTTCATGTTTCTTTCTCTTTCTTCAAATTTCAGCATTAATTGTTTTCTATTTTTACAATAATTTTTTTGAGTAAAATAAAGAACACGGAAAACTTTTTATAGCAGTTTCACATTGTCATAACAAATTCCGTAATAGTTTCATACCATAAAAAAAATTGAATAAATTACATTTGCATTGGTTATATTTTTTCAAAATTGCATTACAAGTTTCTCCGTCTTTAAGAATTACAGTGAGTTTTCTTAAAAATAGAAAAGATATTATATTATCCTTTCGATTCACATATAATGTAAGTTTATTAATATATTTGTGTCATCCGACATGTACATGACTTTTAATAATTCTTTTTCTTTCAAAAATGTCCAATTTAATGGATAAGGAGAAGGATATCTTTGGAAGGAAAAATTAATTAAAAAAAGTCATGTGCAAGTCACATGACACAAATATGTTATATCTAATGATTAAGTAACGAAAAACATAAATATTTACTAATATAAGATATCATATAAGTAATAATTGGATATTTGGGCAAGAAGTAAACAACTTAAAATATGAAGATTCCTAAGTGGGATTACCATATAACCACCTGACTTACACACACAAATATTCAAACTGTTAAAACATAAAAATCTTAAGTTATCAATCAAATAAAAACTAGATGTATCAAAACAATTGATAATGTTAATTTTTATTTATAATTATTGGTCATTTTACATTAACAATCAACTTTCCTTTAGCTTTTAACTAGCATAATCCTCCTTTTAATGACTTCTTTTTGTAATTAATTGATATTAGTTACCATTATTTAATTATACTACTAATCCTCATTTTTTGTCTAACATTTGACTTTGAAGTGAATTTGGAGCAAGCTAATCAAGAGAAGACATGTGAAAGTGAAGAAAAAAAGCCCTCATTGAAGATTACACAACATTAAGCATCACTCTACTTACGTCCAACACCATCTTGGCAAAGAACATTCATCTCACCAGCATTCGGTGCCACTTTACTTATGTCCAGCACCATCTTAACAGAGAGTGTCTATCTTGCCAACACTAGGCACCACTTTACTTGTGCTCGGCGTCAAATCTTACTTTCTCTGTTCCTATTTTTATCAAGATTTTTTTTTATTTAAAAAAAATCTTAAATTCTCCTCTCTTTTTTATCCCTTCTTTATTTTTGTTTTTATCAAGATTTATTCTTTTTTTTTAAATACCTCGAATCCATGTATCAAATAATACATAAAGATGGAGACACAATCTCTTGAAGTGTCCAAGGCGCCTTCATGACATGTCCGTTCCTAAAGAGTGTCAGACATAGGAACATGACAATCCCATGACGTGTCCGTGCAACATAAATCTCTATCACTTTTTAATTGCATGCACTCTCTTCTTTCTCTTCACTTCAACTCTTCACTTCAAGACCACATATCTATTTATTTTATAAATAAATATAAAGATACAAAATATTTCTCTTTGACTAATTTATAATAATATTTTAAATATATAAATTATATTATAATTAAAGTTTATATTAAATAAATATTTTGAATATATAAATTATGTTTAAAATTTATTTTAAATATTTCATATTAGGATATAAGGTTATTTTTAACTTTTGATAAAAAAAATAATAAAATTCAATCTAGAAATAAAATTAAAAAGGATAAATAGAAAGAGGAAAGATTACAGAAAAAAAATCATAAAAATGTTCTCATTAAAAAAATTATAAAAACACTCTAACCGAAAAGTAACTCTTAAAAATCCTTTTGTTTAAAATAACTATTATATGTTGAGAGAATTTGTTTACATTTTCCTAATATTATTAAACTCAATTTGGATCAACTTGACTAACTAGAAATCAAATCTATAGCCAATGTGACCCTTTTATCATACCTGACATGCATTAGACTCAGGTTGATGTCATCAACTCAACAATGTTTTGAAATCCGGATCAGAACATTGTTTTACTTATAATTCATCCTTTACCCCCACATAAGCATGCTAAAACAAATTCTTGTAAAATCTGCTAGCAGGTTCATCCTTGAGAAACCAAATGCATGACTTATAAGTTATAACACTACAAAAAAACAAAACTGTTTAGAACTACAAATTCCAATATTCCTTTTGATATGCTGGGGCTTTTATGTCTTGGTTGTCTTTTTAAAGAAGGAATTCCTAAAACGGGACAAATATTATAGCATAAGAAATTTGAATAATGAAAAACTTGGGTCATTATGAGCATCTTGTGGCATGTTATCCAACAAGGGAGGTTTCCATCAACTTCGAAGTTCTGGTACTTCATGGTACAATTACAAAAAGAGGCTGCATGAAGCACAAATTAACATTTCAGTTAGAGAAATTATGCAAAATGTTAGGAGGGAGGGAGAGAGGGAGAGAGAGAATACCGTGTCTAAACTGACTGCTTTACCATCCTCAGCCATTATCTCAGTTATTGTTCCTGCTTGATCAGCCTGGAAAACCATGAAAGAGAATCAAGTAATTACAATTTTTATTGGTTAAATAAGTAACTAGAGCTAATGCAGCTGAGTAAGATGAAAGTATGTAAGCAACAGAAACTGTGTGCAATTGTTCATACAGCTTTTAAATGTCTGTTTTTTGTGTATGCTATACTGAGGATGCCTTTTATATGGATCTATGTATCTTACAATATGACACTATCATCCAAAATAGAGAAGTGCTACTAAGCAACATACTCTCTTATATTGCTTAAAATTTATTGAAAATAACAAAATCACGAGTTGGACTCGTTAAATAAGAAATAAGATCCATACATTTGTGATTTTCAAGAAGTTTCAGCTAATAGTAAAGTGTGTGTCAGAAGCATTTCTCTCCAAAGTAAAGAGAATAGCAAAATAAGATAGTAATACTAGTAAAAGTAGAAAGAAAAGCAGAATAATACACATACTTCAATTTCATTCATTAATTTCATAGCCTCGATGATGCAAACGACCTGCCCTTTCTGCACTTTATCTCCAACCTGAAACACAGAAACAGAAACAAAAGAATAAGCCTATCCATTATTTTATTCAGCAAGCATGTTAATAATTAGTTGTAAATAGTAAATACCCATAGAATGATTTCTAAATCAACATCTCAAAAAAAGTTCACTGTTTAAATTACATGTTTTGTTAAGTAAAACTGATACATACCTTGACAAATGGAGGCTCGCCAGGCGCTGGACTTCGATAAAAGGTTCCTGCCATTGGACTTTTCAGCGCTGGATGAGACGATGTGCTTGCTTTTCCGGGAGCAGGTAAGGCTTTTGAAGGTGGAGGGCTTGCAGGAGTGGAAGCAGCAACGGGTGGTGGTGGTGCTGGCGTAGGATGTGTGGGATATGGATATGGATATGGTTGTGACACTGGAGCCATAACAGTAGCTGGTGGAGGCTGTAATGCTTCCTTTTTTCTTATCACGAGCTCACAGTCTGCTTGCTTAAGTTGCAGCTCCATAATATCTCTAGAGTCCACAAGTCTGCCCCCAGAAATAATATAATAGTGTGTAAGGTTGAGTTAGGTCTAAATCCACTTTCATAAGAATATATAAATGTTTCATATACTAATGTTGATTTAAGAACAGAAAACAAACATGCAAATGTATGCAAAGCGCAGCAGCTTAGTCTTACTTAACAAGATCTGAAACTTGATTAATAAATGCAGAAATTGAAGATGCATCAATGGAAGTGCTTGGACCAGAGGGTTTTCCATTATGGTCAACTTTCTCTTCTGGTGAAGCAACTTTAGGTCCATTTGCCTGTACAGGTGCTGAATTTTCGACAGTAACGGCCTATGACACAGAGCAGGGTAACTTAAGGTTATTGTTAATTTAATCGTATGAAGAACTAATTTGCTCATAAGGATTAGCAGACTGTTGACAGTTTTCTTCAAAAGTAAAATTCTACGTGAGCTGAGTCAACTGACCTCATTTTTTTTTGCTTGAGATTTCAAGACAGAAAATTGCTTCCTGTTAAGGCACTGCAGGACATGACAATAACAATGTAACATAAAAATCAGGAAGAAATATATAGCTGCAAAGCCTCTGACACAAGTTTATTAATAGTATTCAGTGATTCAGAATATCACATACATAGAAATGATACACTACTTCTGCTTATGACATGCTGAAAATTTGTGTAGCTGAAAGTAAATCAAGCATCATAACAGAAATATTCATATTGCAGTACATAACATATTGTCAACACAATAACACTCAACAAAAACACAAGGATTCTTTATCATACAATAAAAATCTCAAACACTATTCATACAAGCACACACACGAAACAATCAATCACAGAAAGCGACACCACCACCACATTCCAAAATCTGAACAAATCAACATGGTATTCCTAATCCAAACTTCAAACACAGATTCATATTTCACAAATCCACACACCTGAATCCCATTTGGTGCATTCGAAGATCCAAATGACAGTGATTTCTTCAAGGCCAACCCGCTCCCATACGAGACCATTGGCGCGTTCCGTTGCTGGGTCTGAGAGTTCAGTCCCAAACGAGCAAAAGGAACGCACTTGGGGCAAGGGACCGTGAACGACGCCATTTGGAACCAACCCCACGAATCAAAAACCGATTTTTCCGGCTTCAGAGCTAAAACGGCGCTGTGATCTGCAAGAAATGGTGGAAATGGAAAAGTGGGAATATAAGGGTTTGTGAAGGCGATGAAATCGAGGAATGAAAAAGAGAAAAGGGAAACACTGAATGCAAGGATGTTGGAGATTACAAAGGAGGAACACTGATTTTAACACTGAGGCTTCGATGATAACAATGAGAACATCAATGTCACTCTCAACCAACTCGGAACAACACTACTTTGGCATTCATTTCTTGTCTTGTCTCGTTAAATTATCAATGAATAAAATTACAAACTATTATACATTTATTTTTATGAATTTAACTAAGATGTATTACGGTTTAATTATTTTTTAACATAAATTATCATTAAAATCAGATTTTATATCTTTATAATAATTATTGTAAAAATTCAATTTAAAAATATTTAGAAAGTGAATTGTTGATTATATTAAGAAGGTTTAATTTTTTTTTATAATCTTATAACTTGTATCTTTTAGTCTCTATTGTTAAAAATATTTCATTTTAATTCCTACTCTTATCATTTATATTCTCTTTTTTTAGTCTCTTTTGTTTTTTTTATATGATCTAAAAAGAAAAGTTTAAGCAATTATAAAAATTAAAAGAGACAGCGTTTATAACTTTAGGAATTGAAAAGAAGAAGAAAAATGTATATAGATTAAAATAGAAAATTATTAATTATAAAAATTAAAAAATAAAATTTATAAAATTATTGGACTAAAAAAGTAATTAAAATTATTAAGAATATAAAAAATTTAACACATATTTTTTAAATATCCTAATTTTTTTAAATGACAAAACTCATATTAAGATTTTTATATTATTATTAATTTAAAAAATTGAATAATATTTTTTTTAATCTATACTACATCTATTTCTCATTAATAAAGACAACTTTATTTGAGTGAGGTAGAATAAGTGTGGATTTGAATAATAATATGCAAATAATATTTCTAATTTAGCAATGAATTGTTCATAAAAGTTATTTAATGAAGAAGGCTAGCACAATTGGTACTATTAGAAATCTTTATTATATATGGATACCACATTTCAACTTGAATGTATAATCGATGCTTAAATTCTTTTATAAATAAAATTTAATTTTTAATTTAAGAATAATAGGAATAAGAGTTTAATTTTTATGTATTGTCAATATAATTCTTTACTTATTTTATTCAAACAAAAAATAAAATGAAAGAGAAAAGGAAAATTAAGATAACAAAGACAAAATGAGTGCTAACATGTAAAATCAAAATAGAGACTTATTAAATAAAAAGTAAAAACTTACAAACATTTGTGATTTATAAAAAAAAAATATTTTTTTACACCTAATCAAAGAATATGTTAAAAAAATTATATTAAAGAGAATAATTAACTTTTCAAACACAGTAACTAGTTTAAATTTATATTTATGATTTCAAAATAATCCTTATACTTGCATTGTATCAAAATTAAACTCAAAAGTCAAAACATATAAAAGAATAGGTTTTGAATTTACTTGCTGATCTTGATCTTGGTTTAGTTGTAACGAAAGTCATGCAAAAAATGAGGATGGTGCAAGATTATCTTGTAAAATGTAAAAGACAATTGCCACAATAATAGATCTGGAGTTTCTGTGGGCTGGTTTTCTTTAGAGTAGTTTGTTCTAACATCCAAAATGTAGTGCAAAGATGCATCTATCATCTAATTAAGGTGCTGGTTTTGTTTAGTTAAAATTTGTACCACTGGACACTAAAGTATAGAGCAATACATGTTTTCTTTTATTTTTTTTAACAAAATTACACGTAGTTCTTTACTGTAGACAATCCCATTGTGGGCTTGTAGTTGTAAGAGTATGAGAATCTCTTTCAACTTTATCAAAATCCATGTATATTAAAATTTTAAAATATACTTCAAATCCAAGTATATTTCAAAGATTATAAAAATAAAAAAAAAAACACATTGTGGGCCTATTTGAATTTCGCGAAGAAATCCCTCTTAACCTTGCATTTCATTTTATGTATTCCAACAAAATTAAATTTAAACACACAAATAGTATGGTCAGACCTACATTCATTACGTGTGTATTTCATGAAAATCACGTCAAGTAGTGTAAAAGAAGCAAAAACAATCTTAAGTTAACTTGTGTCTCCACTCATTCATTTCTAGACACAGATTAATTAAGGGTATTTATGGTGTAACGTAGTTCAATTTTTGACTTAAAAATTACCAAAAACAAACAAGAAAATTAAATTTGATTTAGTTTAAATGTATTATATAATTCAAACCAATCTTTTACAGTTTTAAAATTTTATTATTTAAAAATCATCTAAATATATATAATATTATGTTATTTATTAAGACTTGTAAGTCAAAAATAAAATTTTAAATATATAAATACTAAAATTTTCAATCACTCAATGTGTTTATTACCGATTTTTATTATAATGAAAATATTTTCGTAATACAATTTTAATTATCATATTCAATATATATTTATCTTATATATATATATATATAATTTGACACTTAAAATAAAATTATTTTCAAATGTTATAAATGATTTATAATGTCTTGTTTTAAAATTCAATTTAATAGTTTATAATTTTATAAATTACCCTTTAAATTAATATATTTGGGGGGGGGGGGAAGTCTTTTATTAGCTTACAATTTTATAAAACATTTTTTATGTTATGAATAAATGTCGTATATTTGTACTATACATTTGAAAAAATATATATTTATACATAAATGTGATTTAGTTTGGATCGATTCCACAAATCAAACTGAACTGTTAGTTTATCATTTTTCATCTATTTTTGATTTTTTGAATCTATTTTCAATTTTTCATTTAAAATGGTTTGATTTTCAACACCCCTTGTAACCAACAACCAAAACATAGTCACGTCATCATAAAAAAACCAGAAGCAACAAAATGTTGCTTTTTTTTAACCAGAATCAGGCTGTTTTTAAAGCGCAGCCATTCCTAACAAGAAACAGCCAACTATGAGTGTTGCTTTGGGACCACATGTCAAACATTTGGATAATTTTGGTCCAAACTGAAATTGTTACTCGGAAATTGATACTGACAATATCTTCAATATTTATTCCAAGACGAATAAGGATATTTTCTCTTATTTTACTTTAGTTTTTCTATTTTCTCTTGCTTTACTAAAATTATTTCATTTTAATGATAAAAGAATATATCTAATTCCCTCCTTGTTGAAAATCAAGAGAAGAATGTTTGCAATTAAATCAATCACTTTACAAAAACCAAGCAAAAAAGAGAAGAATATGCAATTAAATTAGTTCACTGTGTGAATTGACGATTCTCTTTGGAAGACAATTTGCTCAGGTATCAATCTTTCAAACAAGTACACTGTACAAAAAAGACCAAAAGCCATCAAGAGAAAAATGTGCAACTAAATTAGTTGCCTGCATAGAAAACTGAAGATCATTCATTCAGAGAAGCGGGGTAAGGAATAAAAAAAATATTTATTATTCACTTCACAATTCAATCTTCAATCAACAAATAATATTTGGAAACTTAGTTAAGGCAGGAGGAGGAGTAGGTGCTGCTCATATCGCTCCATGATGATAAGCTGCACTTGATTTTCTTGTGATTATGAAACTTGGGTTCTCTAGGTATAGTTGGACTCTTCATTGACCTTGAGCATATACAAAATAACTAATATGAGACAGACATTCAATAGAGAGAAGAGAACACATTGATCATTGAATTAATCAATCCTTACCTCCTTGGCATAAAAGGTCTATCAAAATATGGCATGGGTTGTGCTTTTGGAATGAGTTCCTTCCTCAACCTTCTTACTTCTTCCTCTTCGGCCAACTTCAGTAGAGTAACATACAAGAAGTCAGTGATTATTATTTAATGAAAGGAAGCATTGTAAAATCAGAGCAGTAATATCTGGATATTAATAGTGCACCTTCTGTTGTCTCTCCTTTTCTAATTTGTATTGCTCTATTAAGTTCAACTTTTCTGCCACCTGCATGATTTAACATTCATCAAATCTTAGTTTCCATTTCCTACAATCCCGCTCTTCCAAAAATGAA